CTAATAGGATACCCTTTGTTAAATTAAATTTTATAGTGTAGTTAGCAAAGGTTGTTATTCTTTCAAGTGTAATGTGACTTTTTTTCCCTCTGTGGTGGCATTTAAGCTTTTGTGTTATATTTTTATACCATGATTTTATTCTTGGTTATACTCTTGTGCTTTGGGTATCCAGCTAGAAATGAGGTGCCGTCTGAGCAGAGAGGAGGCTATCTCACAATAATCAGTTTGAGCAGCAGTAGTTTGGGGCAGAAATATTGTATATAGATATGTAAATGGGAACCATTGCTTTTTTTATTAAGCTGTTGCTAAACTTAAATTTAATCTTGTCCCTATTTCACTTATACTGAAATTAGTCCAAAATAGTAAGACTGGAAATCTTTTGCAGCAAGTGAAAGTGCAGAAAAGAGAGAAGAAAAAGAAACATTTTAATTTGATCATTGGTATTATGAGGCTCTGACTTGCCAAACGGGGAAAGCTTGTTTATCACGTTAGTTATAAAGTAACTAAATTAGTCACTTGGTGGTCACTGCCTGGCCTGTGGACCCCCAACAACTATGTCTGAACGCAGATCCGAAAGCATCTATTATAATACCCATCGAAAGCGGCTGAGCTGTTCAGCTGCTGGACCATCTGGAGGGGAAATAAAAGGCCTGGGCTAGGGGCTCTGGCATTGTGCTCATTTATTATTTGGTCTTCCCTTGCCAGGCTTTGTCCCCCTTTCACACGCTGTGGCCAAGAACAGACGTCTCCTCTGGCGGGGGTGCCATTCTTACAAAATCCTTTCTATATCTTGGATGCTGGAAAGTTCATAAGTTCACATGTCCACTTCATGCTGGCCTTATGTTGGGGACTTTATCATTCCAGCTGCACCTTCACCTGTGTCTCTTCCGGTCCCAGTTGGCACTGTGATTTCATCGGCCAGGGTGCCGAGTGGAGCACAATGACACAGCTCTGTAATGGACATCCCTGTCAGGGTCTGCGCATTTTGGCAGCCTTGTTTTGAGTTATTTGGAAGGAAAATGCTCCCAATAGTTCTCATTATGGGTGGCTACTGGGTGATAAATGTTTTGATTAATGGCTCTGTGCATCTGCCTCTTATTTAACCATCCCCAGTTAGAACTCCAAAATATTGCCCACAGTGGCCCTTTTGTTCCAGAGGAGTGGTAAAGGCTTCTGACGATTGGATTGGGAAGGTAGAGATGGTTGAAGGGAGGCCCAGGTTTGTGGTCGGCTTTATAAAACTGGAATTGTTCTTTATAAAACTGGAAAGATTTATGACCGCAAATCCAACTTTCCTCATCTCTGAGCAAGATTCCTATTGGCAGTGGGTGTCAAGTCGGCTTTGACTCTGGAAAGCATCAAATTGCACAGATTAGACGTATTTAAGTGTTTTAGGGAATTAATTTAACAACTATCAATTCTTGGTGTTAAAGATATGGGATTCTTCATGATCACTTTTACATACAAATTTATTTCTTCCTTACCCTAAATCCCAAAGCTGCTTTAGTAAAAAAAGAGATTCTTATTCTGTGTATCCCTGATGCCGTGGAGGTTATAATTATTCAATGAATGGATCAGGGGTGGTAGGGAAGAAGGAGCCCCACTACTCCCCATTCCAGTCTGGGGGAGTTGGCGGCCATCAGGTGTTCCATGGTAGTTTCTAGTACTTGGTACTGTTCAGCTGGTTAACACATAAAGGTGGAGATAAGTGATTTGCCAGTGATACCATTTCACTGCTTCCACTGATGGGTTATTACATGTCGGATTAAGGGTCAGTGTAGTTTAGAGTCAGACCAGGGTTCCAGTCTCGGCTCCACTCCCATGTTAGTGCTATCCTTGGACACGTTGTGTACTTTGCCAACCTCTAGTTTCTACATTTTTAAAAAATATTTTTTCTTTATTGATTTTTAGAGAGAGAGGAAAGGAGAGAGAGACAGAGAGAAACATCAATGAGAGAGAACAGCGATTGGCTGCCCCCTGCATGCCCCCCCACTGGGGATCGGGCCCACAACCTGGGCACGTGCCCTGACCGGGAATCAAACTGGTGACCTCTTGGTGCGTGGGTCGACGCTCAACCACTGAGTCACACTGGCCAGGCCAGTTTCTACATCTTAAATGGCATTATGATATCTACTTTAATGTATTAGGAGGATTCATTTAGATCCTATAAGTAGAGTACTCTGCATAGACCAGACCTATAGGAAATGCTCAGAGAAAAAAAAATTGTTTCTTCTGAACACCCAACTATATTTTAGCCTTTCTGCTTTTGTTTCACATTAAATGTATTAACAATCTGCCTTTAAAGACGAGGAAACATTGAACATGACCTGCTGCCATTACCATTTAGGAACATAACTTTTTAATATACATCTTCCGTACCCTGCCCATTCTTGCTCTCTGGATTCTGGCATCCCTCAGCTCCTGCTCTGGGTCCTTAAAGGCAGACATATGGCTGAGTGACGGTGTAAGTTACCTCTCTTCAGTTTACCCCTTCTTTGTAAGTCATGGATATTTTCTTGGTGGTTTTCTCAGTTCCTCGCTTGTATGAGCTGCTTCTGGGATTTGCTGATCTCAGTTGCTTACCATATTTAATCCTCAGCATAACCCTTCCAGATGGGTATTATTCTTCCCATTCTGTAAGCAAAGGGACCAGGGACAGTGTTTTAGTATAGACTGTCCTCCAAAGCTACACCCAAAAACAAACAAATGCAGTTGAAGTGTGAGAATCCATGGGCACACTTACTAACTCCTTGAACCAAGCTTCAGGTGACCCTGCATGGCCCAGTTTGGCAGTGGTTGCTGGCTTTCTACTTCTGTTTGGTTATGTCTAGGACTGCAGATGCCTTTGAAAAGGGGTTGGGAGGGGGTGGGGTGGGAGTAGAGGGGTGTTTGAGGAAGAAACAGGCATTTCAAACTCTTCCTATGCTCGTTGATTTCTGCAGCTCTCATTCGGGCTAGGTTTCTACTCAAGAAATCACATATCAGTCAGTCGTGTTTACTGCGTCCTGGTGCGAAGAATACACTGTACTGTGCATTCGAGCGAAGGTATGAAAGAAATAGAAGCTGGGGCCCTTGCCCTTAAAGAAATTTCTGGCAAGTGGGGAGAAAAAAATTCTTGCACATGAAATTACTGATGAACATTTGGGGATTAATATCAACCAGTAGAAATGAATTCTGTGCCAGACGAGTACTGACAACCTGTCACCATATGTAATATCTCTTGGATGTTTTCTTACGTATGATAATTTGTTCTGCAGGGATAGGGCTGTTTTCCCTGTTTAGTCAAAAGAATGTTTTCTGAAGCATGGTGTCTTGGGAGGGAGAGAGATAAAATAAATAGATTTTTTAAAAAGAAAGCTACTACCCTGGCTGGTTTTTCTCAGTGGTTAGAGCATCGGCCTGTGGACCAGAGAGTCCCAGGTTTGGTTCCCGGTAAGGGCACGTACCTCAGTTGCAGTTTGTCCCCGGCCCCAGTTGGAGTCGTGAAGGTGGTAACTGGTCGATGTGCCTCTCTCACATTGATGTTTCTCCCCCCCCCCCCCCCGCCCCCTGCTCTATCTGAAGATAAATGCAAAAGTATCCTTGGGTGAGGATTAAAAAAAATTTTTTTTAATAATAAAGTAAATAAAAAAGAAAGCTACTGTAAAATGAAAGAAGTTTTATTTAGTGAAAACCCAGTGACCTCCTAAAGAGCAAGGCATGATAGTTTATCAAGTTCAAAGCCATGGATAAGATCAGGACTTCTCGGTGCATTGTGAGTTTGATGGCCCTCTTTCATTGGTTTAAATGGACAAATCCTCAACCCTTAAAAATAGTTCTTAAAAGGGGGAAGTGTTAGAATTCTTTCACTTTGGGGTTTTGTTTAAATATGCAAAAGCAGAATAGTCTGGCTTTTATGAAATTGGTCAGATTACAGCCCAAGGGGGAGTTAAACTCAGAGAGCGAGTCTGAGAGCTACGGCAACTCTGAAAATCCCAGAGCACCTTGGGGATTCCCAGCAGATCTTAGCTGACAATTAACTGGTAGACTCTAAGTGAATCTCATTAGCCAAGCCTCGGCCTCTTCTAAATTCCTAACTTTTGTGGCTTTGCTTAACACCTTGGTGTTTCTTTTCTGTTGCTTTCATGTTTATGTAGCACTCTCAATTTATTTGGAAAACATTTACATGGTGATTAGTTAACCCAACAGACCAACTCCGGGAAGATAGCCAGAGCCAGCAGCACCTTAGTAATAGAAAAACTGGTAATTGGGAGGAGACACCTTCTGATACCAGGAGCCTGGACCAGGACGGTGGTCCATTCCACGTTCATGAGCGGCCCCAGTAAAAACTGAGCTCCGGCCCTGGCCAGTTTGGCTCAGCTGTTAGAGCGTCAGCCCGCGGTCCGGAGAGACCCAGGTTCGGTTCCCGCTAAGGGCACGTACCTCGGTTGCAGTTTGTCCCCGGCCCTGGTTGGTCGTGCGGGTGGCAGCCACTCGATGTGTCCCTTCACGTCGATGTTTCTCATTCTCTCTCCCTTCCTCTCTTTCCCTCCCACTCTACCTGAACAAAAAATGGAAAAATATCCTCAGGTGAGGATAAAAAAAAAAAAAAAAAAACTGAGCTCCGTGGCAGAGCTGGAGCCCGTCTTCTGAGTCCACCTGGTTCTGCTGCAACCTTTGGGCAGATCGTGGCTCTGTGTCACCTTGTCATGTTTGAAACGGTTGTCTATGGAAAGAAAGCCACAGATCCTAGAGCATCTCTGATTTGTATGGGAGGCTTGCTTATTTTCAGTTCTGGCCGTGTTCAACATCTCAACTCACAGCTTCCCAGGGTGTAATGATCTGCTTCACGGAACTTCACCTCTAAGTCAGAGTTTTCCGACCCAGGGCTCTGTTTACTTAAAGGTGTTGCTTTTCCAAGTAAAATGGTGTTTGCAGGGGCTGGGGGAGGGGGGAGGGGGAGTTGCTCTGTAGTGGGTATAGAGCTTGTCATGCAAGATGAAAAAGACCTAGAACTCTGCTGGACAACAGTGTGCATGTAGGGACCAGCACTGTGCTGTACACTTCAAGTTTTATTTAGGGTAGGCTTCATGTTATGTGGTTTTATCACAATAAAAAATTATATTGGCAAGATTAAATTTTTGTTCAAAGGTGCTGCTTTTTATAGTCAAGGGCTGGTTCTCAGAGCCTTGTTTCAGAGGGCTGAGGTCACCGTCTCGGGAGTGTGTGTTGTGTTTGGCTCCCATTGCGTCACGGTGAAGGTGCCTCCAGATGTGAGGGGGGTCAGGCTTTGATCGGAAGGCCCAGCTCCTTACAAATGGATTTTTGTGTCAGCAGAAAGACAGATCTCATTCTTCAAGTATGATGCGCCTAGTATTTTATGATGTATATTTTTGGTAAAAATGATTGTGAGAGTTATTGATGACTCCATGTTTTTACTGCTCCCATGGAAAATGGAAAAACAGAAGGTCTGGGGTTTGGGGAAGTCAGAGAGACGGAAGGCAGAGTAACCAGGTGAACAGAGGTGCGATGGCCTAGATGGTAGCGGTCCCCTGAGACTCTGTGTGATTCGTGTGATCTGTGGCTCATTCGAACCTCGCCATCTGAAAGGGGAGTATTGTTTTCTCCTTTCTCTAGGCAACTAAGCATTACCTAAACCTCCCTGGGACTAAAGTGAGCTTCAGGGAATACTCTTCCTGTCACACCTCCTGTAATTGCACCAAGAAGTTGAGTTGCTTTTTGAGAAACTCTGGTAAAAGGCATTTGGTCTCATGTAAACAGGGAGGCGGTTTTGTATCCCATGTGTCATCCAGTGCCTCCTGCTGCAGCCCTCTGGTCTAACTACAAAGGGGATCTAGACTGCAGGAAGAGAAGCTGAACAGCAGCTCATCCAAGCCAGCAGATTTCAACATCTGGACAGGTCACTGGCGCTGGTGGACTTGCATGGAAGCTCTGGCCTTGGAGTCTGTTGGCAGTAACAGTTACTTTATTTGAAAGGACTGGATGTCAGAAGTGGCCTCTCACTGTAAGTCCTGGGCCAGATGAGCTGATACAGAATCGCTCGCAGTCTTGAGTTTGACAGGCTGGCTGCCCGCCTGAGGGGGCACCTTTCTGCCTACAAGACTCCTTCATTCTGGTAACATTAGCCTGTGGAGACCTGACCTCGTGCATGTGCCCTGTGAGTGCATGGGGCAGGTCCGCTGGCCAGGGCTGCATCCTGGAGAGACCCATGGTCTTGCTGGTGGGTGTGCAGTGTTACCCTCTCCTGCTGGCCCTTACCAAGGTCCTGATCAACCAGCAGGAGAGGGCCGGGGCGTGCAGAGGGTAGGGGTAGCATGCCAAGGGATGGCAATGGCAAGATTCCAGGGGCTGCCACAACCTGTCCTTGTCTCTGTCCTGCACAGGTGAGCGCTGTGGGCTATGGGATGGATGAGGTGGAGCAAGACCAGCATGAGGCCCGACTCAAGGAGCTGTTTGACAGTTTTGACACGACAGGCACAGGGTCCCTGGGACAGGAGGAACTCACCGACCTTTGCCACATGTTGAGCTTGGAGGAGGTGGCCCCGGTGCTGCAAGAGACGCTGCTTCAGGACAACCTCTTGGGCAGGGTAAGGCCTGGGGAAGAGCACCAGCAGTGGGAAGTGGGTGACAGTGGGAAGTGGGTGTGGTTTCTGTCTGGGCGCTGGGGGTGGGGCAGACCACACCGATTGCAACTTGTTTCTAACATCCTGGCTGTGTGGGCCCTCAGCTCTTTTAACCCGAGAAGCTGAGCATGTAATGGTGTGATGTACAGTGCAGTGTGCTCGGGAGATGAGGGCCTGCTGTAATTTGTGCTCTGAGCATCTTAGAGAAAGAGAGAAAAAGAGGTAACAAGAGGATGTTTTCCAACTTTTTCTTGTTCTTTGTGGATCATTTTCTGAACTCTGCTTTCGTCACTGAGACAGCAGGGAGGTGACAGAGTTCCAGGGGAGAGAGAGGAAGTGCAGTGAAGAACTGCCACTCACCGGAAAAACAGATTGCTGTTACGACTTTCACTCCCCGTAAAGCTATTTATTCTGTGGATTGTTTCTGGGGTGAAGTATTAATTAAACTCTTCACCCAGGAAATAAGACAGGAGGGGAAGTAAATACAGTGCAAGCTCATTTAAAAACCAGCATGACTCGCTCCCAGCAGGGATGTGTGTGTGCTGATGTTAACTTCTGCGTTTGACAACAGTCATGTTCTCCCCATAAATCCAGTCACCGAGATGAGTAAGAGGTTTCGTCTTTCCCTCGTGCTGTTAGTGGGAAGGACGTTTGATATGTCACAACTTGATATTGCCTTCAGTTCTCATAATTATAGTGAAGAGCATCACTGTATGGCCTGGGTTGAGTCTTGCTGTTGAATTTTTTGAATGGATGAGAGCAGAAAATGGGCAATGCTTTTTGAGCTCTGTTGCCGTCACTTTGTAGATGTAGTTTCTATCATGCGGTATAAATTGAGGAAGCAGTCAGGAAGCTCAACTTTATTCCAGTGACTGATCTTCCCTCTCTTTGCTTCATTTTCATTGTCTCTTAGCTGACAAATTGGGTAAGTGACCTCAGATACCATAGCATGTATTGGCTCTGTGACCTGAGACAGACAGGAGTAGTGATCACTCTGAAATTAACACACAAAGGATGATATTCTTGGGATTGGCACCATGAATGTGGTGTTTAACAGGGCTTACAGTTAAGAAAAACATGCAAGTTTTTGCAAAACTTGGTCACTTTGGAGGAGTTAGCTACTTGTGAATATATGTGGTCCCCCCAAAATGCTAAAAGTTTTGCTTTGAAAACCATAGGAATGGGAGATTTAAGGATCAAACCATTTGCTCCTTATCACATAATGCACTCAAACATTTTTTAGGTCTGCCTCAATCCCAGACACTTCGGGGAGCCAAAAGTGGAGCGTTTCCCACTGCTGTCCTTGGAGAGCTCAGGCTTTTTGGTGTCTAAGAAATAGTATGAAATAGTGGACCTCTTTAAATGCTTGTTAAAACCTGAGAAGACATAATGGAACCTAAGGTGTCCTTGGGAGATGTGTTAGAGTCCGTGTAAATATGGCAGCCCCTGCTGTAAACAGGTCACACCCCGGCAGCTGGTTAGCGGTTTGCTCTCTATTACGTTGTACATCTTTTTTCCCCTCATTTGGAAAAGTAAAACGGGAGCAGTTATCGATTGATTTGTTAATGACCTGACACCACCAGCCTGCTCTTTATGTCTGCTGTTTGCCTGTGAATAAGGAATACGTAGGTGGTCTGTAGCGTGATATTTACTTAGTGAGCCTGTGATAAAAGTTAAATAGATGTCTGCATATTGATTTCATATGGGAGTCCCTAGTGATTGTCTTGAGAGCAGGGTTGGCATGAATTAATGCACTAGTGTTAAATTTGCATTTTTTATGAAATGGAATTATTCTCCTCAGAGGATCACATAAACTTGGCCATATGCTGTTAAGACACTCTATATGGTCTATGATTTTAAATTATAGGGAAAAAAAATACCTTGGAATTCACAGAAGCAATCTATGTGCTAGCACTTTCTTGGTATATTGAATAGGGTTGTAAAATGACAAGTGTTTAATGCCAGTTATCTTTTTTCTCTTTAGATGTTATTTATAGACAACTTATAAGGGTTAGGAGTTGGGGCTCACAAAACAGGAGGAAGGAGCAGCAACATGACAAATTCTTCTGCTTGTTAACTCACAGATATGCATTGTGTGGTGTGTGTCCTGCCTGTCAGGCCTTCCACTGGTCCCTCGGGGCAACTTCTGCTCATTGTAAACTACAAGTTTCCATTAAATTGGTTTTTGGATACATTAGTGTGCATTGGCTTTCTGGTTTTAATTGTATCTTTTAAATCTTAACAGGTACACTTTTTAAATAAAACAAAACTTTTAAGTTTACCTTTATTAGACTTGGACTCAATTCATCATTTTTCCTTGAAAATAAGTAAGATAGAAAACATTGCTCTCCTCAACTAAGAACATGAATATTGTCTATTTTATTTTTTATTTAAAAATCCATCTTTCATAACTTTTCTTTTTTTAAAATACGTTTATATTGATTTTTTTTTTTTAGAGAGAGAAAGGAAGAAATGAGAGGTAGAAACAGTGGTGTGAGAGAGATACATTGATCAGCTGCCTCCTGCACGCCCCCCACTGGGGATGGAGCTCAAAACCCGGGCATGTGTCCTGACCGAGAATTGAACTGGGACCTCTCAATCCGTGGGATGACGCTCAACCACTGAGCCACACCGGCCAGGCTTGTTCTTTTTTCTTAAAGCTTAATGTGTTTTTTGACAGTTGTTAAGAAAAGTAACTTAAATCGACTTCCCATTTTCATGAATTTTACTAATGGACCATTTACCCCAAACTTATGTTTCTTTTTTTTTTTTTGTAATCCTCACCCAAGGATATTTTTCCATTTATCTTCAGATTGAGTGGGAGGGAGGGGGAGTGAGAGAGAGAAACATCAGTGTGAGAGAGACACGTCCATTGGTTGCCTCCTGCATGACCCCCAGCAGGGCCGGGGACCAAACTGCAACTGGGGTATGTGCCTTTGACTGGAATCAAACCCGGTTCTCTTTGGTCTGCGGGGGCCAAGCTCAGACCGCTGAGCCAAGCCAGCCAGGACTCCTCTGTCCGATCTGGTCTTGCTTTATCACTTGAAACCTCATTCCCCGGAGCACAGGGGTTATACAGGAGTGGGCAAAGGTAGATTTATAGCTGTGAGTACGTGAAACACAGTTTACTCCTGTGTTATTATTTATTAATTATTGTATTATTTTCCCTACACACACTGTAAGCCTACTTTTGCCGCACCCTGTGTGTAAGTGTTTGCAATGCCTGCTGATTGTGAATCACCAGTTAGAAGGAAAGAGGACATTGCTGGAAGGTGTCTCCTGGCCCTTTATCAGAAGAGCTCCATTCACATCTGTGTCACAGTTAAGCAGCCGTCAGGTGGGTGAGACCCCAAGACAAGGGCACCTCAAGTGTAATGTACCTGGCAAGTGAGTAGTCCTGGGAGCAAATACTACAAACACTTAAAAAAGGGAACCACATTAGCTCTTTTATTGAACTAAGTTTCCATCCAAGTATTCAGTACCCATTGTAGGTGCTTTCTGGCTTTGTGTCTTTTAGGTGAAGAGTTTCCATATTGCCTTTCTCTCTTTTATTAGCAACCTGGACATACATTTGATAATTGACCTGGGTTTTATTGAAGCCTTTAGTTATATCCTGTTTAAAAAAATGCACTTCACTTTCATAATGGAAAATACCAACTTTGAGACAAAACAGTCCCCTGGGGTTCTGATGAGTTTCCTTGCTATGCGCTTTAATATGAATTTGGATGCTGAGGGGCCCCAGGCCCTTGGCACTCTCTAGAATGAGAGCAAGCTACCTGGAAGCGAACTCATGGTTGCTTCCAAAGAGTCCATAGGTATGTAGACTTTGGTCATCAAAGGCACTTTGACATTTTTTACTATTAGAATTTGATAGTTGTACAAATATATAAATTTATCTCAGCCTTCCCACCTTTCATTTCAAAGTGCTTGGAGTTCTTTTATAAATGTCAAGATTAATTTTACACAGAGGATTGCTTTTTTGTTGTTTCCAATTCATTAAAAGCTTTTAAAGATTTCTTTCTCTCATATACATTTTAACCATTTGAAAAGTAAGTCAGAAATATAGAAGTACTTCCTGATTTTTAGAGAGAAACAAACATTGGTTTGTTGTTCCACTTATTTATGCATTCATTGGCTGCTGCTTGTATGTGTCCTGACTGGGGATCAAACCTACAACCTTGGCATATCAGGATGATGCTCTAACCAGCTGAGCCAGGGCCCAGAAGTACTCTGGTGGTGATTATTTGGACTTGTTCTCTGTGTGTAAAATTATGCTTGATCATCATATAGTGCCTATTTATAACTCCCTGGTGTTCATGCTCCCATTGCATGTTATTGATCAGAGGCTTTTTTGAATGCATTGGAGGGAATGGTGGAAACATTTCCCACTGCATCTCTTAAATCTCTGAACCTTCACTGTATCTTACTGTTCAACCACCATAGAGCAACCTGAAATGGTGGAGGATATTTTCTGATTCCTATGCTGGTCTTGTGACTCTGGGTATCTCTCCATCACTCCCTTCCTACCAATCTCATCTGGGGTTGAATTAAGCTCCTAAGGGTCTGTGGTCCCCATTCATAGACAAGAAGACATTCTGAGTCAGAAGTGACAAGACTTGTTTCCACTCTGTATTAACACTTCCTTGTCAAATTCATTGCAAAATTAACTTTGGTTTTGCATGCTGTGAACCTTGAGTCTGTCAGAGGCATTTAGTCTGACAAAAGCCAGGGCACAGGGGCCAGCTGGTGGGAGGGCCTTGTACTCTCAGCAGGACTTGGGAGCATGTACTAAATAGCTGCTCTTTCTACCTACTTTATTTCGGTAATGATCATCTCCTCACCAGAGAAAGTATGGTCAGGAATGCTCATTAAATTGCCACAATATTCCACTAATACTTGTATAAGTAGCATCTTGTCTGGATGAGGGGACTTAAAGTTCTTCAGTGTCCATCACAGATTTTTAG